GGGCTTGTGAGGCCGTCAAGCTCACCAGCTGCCCCCAGCGACATGCCGGCCAACGTCCCGCAACCCGCGAGAAGGCGTCGCGCCTCCGCCGCTGCTGTCCGCAGCGTGTGGCAGCGTCCCTTATGCCGGCTTCCCGCCTGTCTAGCGCGCTCTGGTCGAGTCCCGTTTGCCCGTCTCTGTTTCGCGTCGCCGCCGCGGCCCCGCCCGGTCATCACGTGACGCATCCGCTGTGAGCTCGTGTGCGTAACGCAGCCGGAATGCGGAGCAAGCGTGTCAATCAGGGCCGGCCATCTCGGCACCGAGTGCCGAGCTGTGGCACCGCTGCCGTATCTGCCATCGACGGATGTGACGCGGTGGTGGCACGGCAGGGCGTGAATTGCAGATTGTGGGTTCGAATCCCATGCATGGCGACAGTATTTCGCGGCCTTGTCACAGCAACCGGCATCATAAGTTGTGGTGCCAGCACGTAGGGGCTGGACGCGTGGATACCCAGTGCTGTTATCGATATGGTGGCACCATTGTATCCACCGACACCTGATATTCGGTGCCACCATTAATTGAATAATTGACCGGACTGTCGTCTACGTCAGACGTGTTATTATGTGCAGCTAGTGCTACCTAGTATTGCCAACACACCAGACGAAGAAGATAGTCCAAACAATTCTGTCAGCTGTGATGCTCATAGCATGCCTCAATTATTCCGCGAACCCATTACCACTACGAATCTAGCACAAGCGTGTACCATATATCGACCGCCATCTAGCGCCGACCGTTGTCCGTGGCATCGCCTCCCACCCAGCACCCTCAAACTTGTATGGATATCGACCCCGACGGCTGACACCCCCGGCTGTCTTGCTGCGGCCCTTGCCGACAGCGTGATGCGCCCCTCGCGGCGTGTCAGCGCCGCGCCCGCAGCGGCGCCGCGCTCCGTCGCTCCGGCCGCGCGCTCCGACGCTCCGGACGCGTCAGTGACAGCCCGCCGTGTTCGGCAGAGTCGCGCCACCCAGCTGTGCTCGCGGGACACCCTCTACAGCACGCTGCCCGTGCTGCGCTGGGCGCCCAAGTACACGCGCGACGACCTGCTGGGCGACGCCATAGCCGGCCTCACCGTCGGCCTGACGGTCATCCCGCAGGGCATCGCCTACGGCATCCTGGCCGGCCTGCCCGCCACGGTGAGTACAGCCGGCCTCGGCGCGAGGCGCTCGGAGGCGCGGGGCGGCGCTCGGAGGCGCTCGGCGGCGCCCGGAGGCGCGAGGAGGCGCTCGGTGGCCGCGGCGGACCGCGCTGGGCTGCGCCGTGGCCTGTGTGGTGGCTGGTTACTTGGCTACTGGGTTACTTGGATTAGTGCCGTTTGGGCCGATGATGACCATTTGAGGGCTGGGGGATGAAGGAAAGAGGATGACGGTTGGGTAAGGCCACATGCCTCGGGAACCCATCCGCTGAGGCTTTGTCCTCACAGGGATCCCTCCACGGCATGTGCGCTGGGCGTTCGGACGAGGGAGGGGATGAGAGGACAGAGGGGTTGCGCTGACGCTGCGATCTCGTGCCGGAGCGTCACAGCGAGACGCTTCGGGAAGACAGACAGCGGGTCGGTTCGGCCTGGTGGCACGCGTCGCAGCGCCGGCGATCTCTCCCGCTTTGTTGCCGCGCGTTCACCTGACGCTGCCGGGCGACGGCTTCGCAGCAGTGTGACCAGATGCGGCGGCATGATTTCGTGGGGTTTTCCGGGCCTGGTGGGGTAAGCTTTCTGGGAAAACCGTCATATCCCGGTGCCGGCTGGTGCGTTTTTGTAGATGGGTGTTTATTTTGTCTCTTGTGTTTTTTGTGTTTCGAAACTCGTGCTCTACTGCTTAAGGGTTTGTGTTATCTGAACTAATCTGTATCTAAATTGCGTTTGACGGCCCCTTCAAAAGGTCATGCCTGAATCGCTTTACTCGAGAGCCACCCACTCACATGGAAAGGTCACCCCGCGCCAGGGCGATCCGTCTCCGTAGACTGCCACCATGCCAACACGGCCTCGCCTTGCAGTACGGCCTGTACAGCGCCTTCATCGGCTGCTTTCTCTACTGCATCTTCGGCTCCACGCGCGCCATCACCATCGGACCCACCGCCATCATGGCGCTGATGACGCACGAGTACGGCTACCATGGCAACCCAGACATGGCCACCCTCCTGGCCTTCTTCACCGGCATCATCGTGCTGTGCTGCGGCATTCTGCAGCTGGGTGAGCGCTGACTGACGTTGACGTGCCGCCGGCCCAGCGCTCACGTGACCACTGTCACGTGATCATTGTCACGTGACCGCTGAATTCGCACGCGTCGCTAACAGTAGGCTGCGTAGCTCTTGAAGTACGGAGACGTCGAGTCCTTCCTTTGACAGGCTGTGTGTGTTGTGTAAGTGTTTTGACCGGTTCTTTAGCCTACCGCATCTCGGGTAGCATGTTGGCTCCAAGAGCTACCATTGCACGCACTGTTCGGAATTGCTACGTGAGGTGTTACGTAAGTCATCTCGCCGGTGTCCGTGTTGCTGCGAAGCAGGATAGTGATCCTAATTGTGGGTTAAGAAAGAACTGTCAGTGTGGGCTGACCTATGTTATGTTCATTCAGCGGCTGGTTCTTGTGAGGTGCTCTCACTGGTGTTCTATTGCGGTGCTCTTACCGGTGTTCTGTAAGAGGCAGGGTGAGTTCGCTTGCTATGTTCGACCGCTGCTCACTCTCGGACACTCACGGCGCCCCCCCCCCCCCCTCTCGGCAGGCTTCCTCATCGACTTCATGTCCGCGCCGGTGGTGTCTGGCTTCACCTCCGCGGCCGCCATCACTATAGCAACGTCCCAGCTGAAGGGCATCTTCGGCATCAAAGTGAGGGCACGCCGGGTGGTGGCGCGCGCGGTGGGGTGGCCGCCGGAGGCAGTGCCCCCCCCCCCCCCCTCCCCTGTTAGGCGGCCGCGAATGTTCGCCTGACCTTTCGCATCGAAACCGATAACAGAGCGGGTTTCTCTTTGTGTAGATATATGGACAGGGCGGTGTGAAGCCCTGGGCGCCATTTACTCCTCAAGGTCATGGCTGATGCGGTAGAAAAAAACATTTACCTAAAAAAATCGCCCTCCCTCCCCGTCTGAAGCAATGCTTGCGCCGCCGCACCCGGGCCGGCTTCCCACGCGACTCGCGGCGCCTGCCGACCCTGCCGCCGTCTCTGTGGGCGTGAGTCACGTGACTCCGCGTCCGGGTGAGCCCGGCCGGCAACCGTCTGTGCCGCGCTCCCCCAGCGGGCTGTCCTCCAGACTGGCCTTGCGTTGGGAAGGCTCGGCCGTCCCTTTACTGCAAACACCAGCGACGCGCGGCACGCCTGAGCGCATGGCGAGGCTGTCTGGCTCTCGCGATGGCCTTTATGCACTGCTGGTCCACTGACCATGGCGCGTGAGCGGATGTGACGTTGCTGGTCGCGGGGTGTCCCGCGCAAGATACAGTCAGCTTGCTGGCCGCTGGTCGGCTTGAAAACCACTGACGTCACGTGTCCTGAGGAGCTCACGGCAATCGCTCCTGAGTGGGTCGCTCAACGGGACGGCGTGGTCGTATTTTGGTGTTTTTTCGGGCTAGCGGCACCCGGTACTGGCTGTTTGGACCAGCGGCTGCTGTTGCGTCAGGTGCTTGGCTGTCTGGACCAGCGGCTGCTGCAGCGTCCGATGCTGGGCTGTCTGGACCAGCGGCTGCTGCAGCGCCGCCTGTTGCAGGCCCGCACACCAACGTGACACTCTGTCCCGCCGCAGGTCGAGGGTGAAGGCTTCATCAACACGTTCAAGGAATTGATCGAGAAGATCAAGGATACGAACGTGAATGATCTGGCGCTGGGCATCGTCTGCTGCATCATTCTCATCTCGATGCGGGTAAGAGTGGGCTGGAGCGCAGGACGACGTCTCCCATCTCCTGTGTGGTCTCCCGTATCCTCACATCTCCTGTGTGATCTCCTGTATCCTTCCATCTCCTGTGCGATCGCCCGTATCCTCCCATCTCCTGTGTGGTCTCCCGTATCCTCCCATCTCCTGTGCGGTCTGCCGTATCCTCCCATCTCCCGCGTGGTATGCCGTATCCTCCCATCTCCTGTGTGGTCTCCCATATCCTCCCATCTCCTGTGTGAGCTCCCGTTTTCTTCCATCCCCTATGTGATCTCCCGTATCCTCCCATCCCTTATGTGATCTCCCGTATCCTCCCATCCCTTGTGTGGTCTCCTGTATCCTCCAATCCCTGTGGTGGGATCGAGGAAAGTTCCGTCTCACGTGGCTTGGTAATCCGCGGCACTTCTGGATGTTCGGATCAGGAACTGTCTAACAGAGTGGAAAATTTCTCCATAACCGGAGACTAGCGACGGGCGTAAGACGCGACATGAAGATCCGGAAATGTGCAGTTATTCTGGTTCTTTGCGTCTGCCGGTGTTATTGCAGGCATGCTTTAACGGGTTGTGACTAAAGCGATCTTTACCACTTCGCCATGGCTCTGCCTCTTACACGCCCACATGTACTGCAGTCAAATATCAGTTGCCACTTCGGCCGCAAGGCGTGCGCGTGCGCCTCAACCGTGCCTTCTGTGTGTAAGGTTCCTCAATGATGTCTTCTCTGTGCATGTGTGGGTATGTGCTTCCCATCTCTGCCCTGTCATGGTGAGTGCTGCCCACTTTTTCATTGTCTTGTTTCTCGTTGTTACCTGTCTGTGCTTGTGTGTCACCGTTGTCGCAGACGCGCCTCCGCTGTGTGTGTCTGTTGCGCCTGACCTTCGCCATATCTGCATGTGGCTCGCCGTGCTATTCTGTTTGTTGTGGCCCACCTCTGCCGTGTCCGTTTCTGCGCCTGATCTCCGTCGTACCGGTCGCTCCGAGCCCCACCCCTGCCCGTCACCCCGAGCCTCATTCCCGCCCGTCACCCCGAGCCTCGTCCCTGCCCGTCGCCCCGAGCCCCACCCCTGCCCGTCACCCCGAGCCTCATTCCTGCCCGTCGCCCCGAGCCCCAGCCCTGCCCGTCACCCCAAGCCTCATTCCTGCCTGTCACCCCGAGCCTCGCCCCTGCCCGTCGCCCCGAGCCCCACTCCTGCCCGTCACCCCGAGCCTCATTCCTGTCCGTCGCCCCGAGCCTCGCCCCTGTCCGTCGCCCCGAGCCTCACCCTTACCTGTCGCCCCGAGCCTCAACCCTGTCCGTCGCCCCGAGCCTCGCCCCTGTCCGTTGCCTCGAGCCCCACCCCTGCCCGTCGCCCCGAGCCTCACCCCTACCTGTCGCCCCGAGCCTCAACCCTGTCCGTCGCCCCGAGCCTCACCCCTGTCCGCCGCCTCGAGCCTCACCCCCACCCGTCGCCTCGAGCCTCATCCCTGCTCGTCGCTGCAGGAGATGAAGCGGGTCCAGGTGGCGCGGCCGGGCCGCCACAACAGCCGCACGCGCAACATCCTGCAGAGCTGCATCCGGTTCACCTCCATCGCCAGGAACGCCATCATCGTGATGACGGCCGCCGCCATGGTGGCCATCATGCAGTCCCATGGTCTCATGCCCTTCACCATGACCAGTGAGTGTGCAGGTGTGGCGCGCCCGCGCGCCGCATGGACCCGGAGCGGGAGCGTCATGCAACTCTGTCCTCTTCTCCAACAGTGTGGAGATATACCGAAGGGGCTTTGAGAAGTGTAGATTGCTTGCCGTGGCTAGGTTGTGAACCTTTTCTCGCCGTGGGCTCCTCTCGCCGTGAGCGCTACTGGCGAGTGGGTGCGGTCACTCTGGCCACTGGTGGGAGAGCCTCGCATTTCCGTATCATGACTAGCTTGTGAGGGTGCAGCGCCTAAGTATGGTCCGGTTTTGGCAGCTTGCCTCCTTATTGTGACGAGGCGGTGGGAAAAACGTGAACCGGGGGACCTTCGCAATGCTAAGAATGTGAGAAGGAAGCACCATACGGTCAGAGATCAGCCCCGGGCGGCCCGTGCTCCCTCGGAAGCATGACCCCTCCCCCTTCCCCGGGCAGAGTCCGTGAAGGCCGGTATCCCGGCGCCGAAGCCGCCGCCGTTCTCTACCTTCGATTCGGTCCACAACAAGACCATGAGCTTCAGCGAGATGACGTCGGCGCTGGGCGCCGGCCTCGGCATCATCCCGCTGCTGGCCGTCATCGAGAACGTCGCCATCGCCAAGGCGTTCGGTAAGGACCGCGTTGCGCTGCTGCCAGCGGCCTCTGGCGAGCCGCGCAGGGCCAGTGACGTGCGCCCTCGCTAAGTCGCGGCTTGTGAGGAATTCGCCCTGAGGATTCGTGTCGGTCTGAAACAAGACCCGTGTAGCGAAATGGTTTTTGATTTTGTGGTGATGAAGCTACGCAGGTTGCGTTCGCACCGCCTTTTTCACAAGAGTGCGTATACCGTTCAGCTGCTTGCGCAAGCGAAAACGACAGTCGTCTGTAGGCCACACGGGACCGCCGGGCGTACGCAAGCCACGCCCCCCCCCCCCCCCTTCCTTCCCCTCTCGCCCCACTCTCGGGCCCGGCCTTGTCGCCGGCGGCGTCCGTTCTCTGAGCGTCTCCCCGCCGTCTCCTCTCTGAGCGTCTTCTCCGTCTCCTCCGACAGCGCAAGGCCAGCGGATTGACGCCACCCAGGAGATGATCGCGCTCGGCATCTGTAACCTGGTGGGCTCGTTCTTCTCGTCGATCCCCGTGACGGGCTCGTTCAGTCGCACGGCGGTCAACAACAGCTCCGGCGTGCGCACGCCCTTCGGCGGCATCTTCACCGGTCAGTGGGCGCCGCTGCGGCACGGCTGTCGCTCTGGTTGGTCGGTGGCGTCGTTGCCAAGCGGTTTGTCTCTCGGGATCGAGAGGCTGTGGGTTCGATTCCTGCCACGGGAAACCTTCAGCGGCTGTTGCTGCGGATCTAGGACGTGGTTGTGTCGGTAAATGTTCCATTAATGACTCTAAGTGGTGATGTTGGTGAATATTTGGTACTTGGTATATATCGGAAGAATATATATATATATATATATATATATATATATATATATACACATATATATAATGGTATGTAATATTGGTACAATATTTGATCGTGCCCTGAAAAGATTCATGCACTTTCCTCCACGTTACGCCGATGCTTTATGGAACACTGCTAGTATTTCATTGCGAAGGCTGCTGTGGGCGTGATGGCCGAGTGGATACCTCATTCATTCTTCACGCGGGGGTCCGAGTTCAAATCCCGGCTGTGCCACGGCTCTTGAACGCTGATCTCCCGTTATAGTTGCTGAAGGTCTATACAAGGCTTTCTGACGCGCTTGCACTCCTTTTGTACTATAAAAGGAGTCCGGTGCTACCGTTGGTCGTGACAAAATTGGCCATGGCGGCTGTTCTTTCAATGCACAGATACCTACTCGTAACCGCTACTCGCCTTGCTACAGGTGCTGGGCGAGGCGCCATTTGTCACTGTCATCCAAACCGGTTTGCAATGCAGCGATATGAACCTGGAGTGCCCTCTCATTAATAATTTCTGTTCATTGATGGTTTGGTGGCGTGCGTCGTACTCGGTTTCAAGCTACGCCGTACTACGATCTGGATAAAACATCGCAAAATTCCTCATCGCGACGCCGGAAATCAATACCGTTGGCGGATGTGACGCAGTTCTGTGTCGTCACCAGCAGCCTCACGCTGTGATTCAGCCATTGGGGCTAGTGAGGGTCTCCGTTAAGCGTTTCTGTGTTGCGGGAGGCTGGTGCTAGTGGCGGCAGGCGTCTCTGGTTCGTGCTTGCGCCGCGGTTCTGCGTGGACCGATGGCAGCAACAAAGGGTGGGGTGGGAAAGGTGCGGTGGGTGGCATACCGTATTCTACACGACCTCGATATTTTACTTAGCATAAGCACCATCTCTGATCTATTCCCAAATGGCTTGGCCGTAGACGTGATTTTATAATATTTTGTGTGATCGCGATGTAAATGTTTTGCCTGTTTGTTTCAAACTGCAGTTAAAATCATAGACACGGGTTGAAAAGCGGCAACTATCATTGTATGATCGGTCACTTGTAGCATCGCACATATCGCATTTAGAGCGATGGTGTAGATAACCATGGTTTGTGACGCATTAACGAAAACTTCTACGTAACTAACAACTTCTGATGTATGCCGACGGCCTTTAATCCATGACCTCACATAATCTCTGGATCACGGTCCTCTGCTGGCTGTCGCGTCCTGATAGCGAAACTGATTTATGTCTTCTGATCTGACCACCCTCCCTACCCCTTGCCCCTTGCCTCGCCGGGCGCTCCCGGCTCCGCGGCTCTGACTGACGTCTTCTTTGTTGCCGGGCAGGTGTGCTGGTGATCCTGGCACTGCAGTTCCTGACGCCGTATTTCGTCTTCATCCCGAAGGCCACCCTGTCGGCCGTCATCATCTGTGCCGTGGTTTACATGATCGAGCTGGAGATTATCCGGCCTATGTGGCGAAGCAGACGTGAGTGACGCGGCGGACCCGAACGCGGCCGCGTTCGCTAACTAACTGGGAAACTTTCGAACCACGCCGATGCGTTCGGTAACATAACAGTGAACTTTTAGTTGTTTGAGTTTTAGAGTTGTTTTGCTTTACAAAACTACTGCCCTTTTCCGTTGCAACGGGGTGGGGGTAGGACGTCTCACATTAATGAGACCCAGTCTACCAAAACACGATTTTGTGTTGCCCACATGCCTACCAAAAGTTGTACGTTGTAAAGTGCGGCTTGATATCCACCTAGAAATTGAACACCTCGGATGCTGTCACTTTCGTTCTGCATCTTCTGTCATTACGCTGTGGACAAAATCGCTACCATTATATAACCAGGCGGAATTTGCCTTCCTTCGAGCCGGTGTTAACGAGAAGAGCTTAGCAGAATCAGCACATAGTAAAGAGATCATGCTTGTGGTCATGTTCGTCCAGGCAGAATGGAAAGCACTTTCACAAGACAAGAGAGGATGTTGAAAATGTGCGTGTGTGGGTAGGTGGGTGTGTATGTGTGTGCGTGTGCGTGCTTGCGTGCGTGCGTGCGTGTGTTTAACAGAGACGCTCTTTATCAAGCCCGATCCCAATAACCTGAATGGCATATGTCCCGCAGCCTCCCCGTACTTTCTGACAGCAGCGGGAAGTGGTTGGGAACACCTGACAGCACACGTCCTGACGGATTGGCGCGTTGCAGGTCTGGACCTGATCCCGTTCGCGGCCACCTTCTTCACCTGCGTGTTCTGGGGCCTGGAGTACGGCATCGGCATCGGCACGGCCATCAGCCTCGGCATGATCCTCTTCAAGGCCGCCCGGCCCAAGGTCGTCATCGAGGAGAAGAAGCTGGTGAGGATCCTGTGCGGGCTCGGAGCGCGAGCCTCGGCTTCCGTGCATGCTGAGAAGGCTGTCACTGGGCGTGGGGCTCGCTTCGTTCCCCGTTGTTTTCTTTTTCGGGCGTTTGTGCGATCCTGCTCTCGGTCAATGGCGCGCGAAGTGTGGTCAGACAAAGGGTAGATCCTGGCAGATTTGCTATAAGCGCGTACATGGCAAAGGTGCTTGATAAGCAGTATCGATGAGACTCGATTACAGCTGCGAAGCTGTTCGATCTCCCTGTGTCTGTGATTTACGGTATCTCAGCATCTTCCATATGTAGAAGTTGGTGTGTTCATTCGTGGCCGTGTGCGTTCGTCTCTGTTATTCGGCGTGCGTAGGCTCGTCTGCGCCTCTGTGCGTGCGTGCACTCGACCCTCGCGGCGCGCTGTCGCCTGCACCCGACCGTGAACCTGACCCGGCGCCCCCGCCACGCCCAGCCGGGCTCGTCGCAGGTCTACATCTACGTGTACCCGGACTCAGGCCTCACGTACCCGGCCGCCGAGCACGTGCGCGCCGTCGTGACGGACGCGGCCGTCATCCACGGCAACAGCGTCGAGCCGGTCGTGCTCGACTGCAACAACGTGCGGTACTCGGACTTCACCTCGGCTGAGGTGCGTGGCCGGCGCAGGTGGCGCCGGTGTGCGGAGGGCGGGCGACGCTGCTGCGCTTGTTTTGAGCGGTCGTGGTGGGGCGTGGATGTCGTTTAAGCAGGTGGAAGTTGAGGCGGAGCCGCTGGTCAGCGTTTTGCCATGGCGTTCTGTTGGTTATCGAGATGTTAAAATTGGTGTTTGGGTTTATTTGGAGATGATGTGTTTTATTTCATTTGGCATGTCGTTTTTATACAACCGTGCGTATTGGTACATTCAATGGCCAATCACGCAAAGCGTGGAGTGAACCGTAATATGGTCCGCATTTTCGAACAGCCTAACAATCCTGTTCTGAATCTGAACAAGCCCTGCCAGGCACGCGCTCCCCCGGAACAGTATCCCGCAACCCTGCCCACACTCAACCCTTCCCCTGAGCTGACATGACCCTGACCTGACCCTGACCTGGCATGACCCTGACCTGGTATGATCCTGACCTGACATGGCCCTAACCTGACATGACTCTGACCTGACATGACCCTGACCTGATATGACCATGTCCTGGCATGACCCTGACCTGACATGGCCCTGACCTGCACTGACCCCGCCGCCGCAGTGCATGAACCTGCTGGTGAAGGAGTTCCGCGAGCGGGGCCAACAGCTGGTGTTCGTCGGCATGAAGCGGAGCATTCGCGGCTGCTGGGACGGCGCCGGCCACGCCGACGGCCGCGTCAGCTGCATCACAATCGCCGACGCCGAGCAACTCATCGCAGGTGCGTGGTGGCGCCGCGCTGGCGACGTGCGTCACGTGCGCCACACCCGCTGCACGGCGTTATGATAGAAGTGCACATGTTGCAACCGGAGGTGTGGGTGGAAAGAAGAGAGATCGTAGTGTTTCGCTTCTCGTTATGAGCTCTTACGCGACCGACTCCCCATTATTCCCGGAGGTGTTCCTTTCCAGCAGAATGCATGGTCCCTGGTTACCACGAGCGTTTGTGATCAAGAGCCCTGCTGGAAATGGCGAGTGTTTTTATAACATGTCCAGACGATTGCTTCATAGGTTTTTTAACTTACACCTCCTGCTATATAAGAAACTTTTTTAGCAAAAGACCTCGTGATCGACAGCACGTGTGGAAATGCAGACTAGATCCTCTCGTTCCGGCGTGCTGTTGGCTTTGGTTTGGCTGCGCCGTCGGGTCGTTACCGTCTGGTTGTGACGTCACTGGTGACGAGGCTGTGACGTGTTGAGGATATGATGCCCGTCCGATGCTGACCGTGCGGCTCATAGGGTGTGGTTGAGTCTGGCGCGGCCTGTGGTGGGTTTGCGGGGTGACGCGGTCCGTGCGGCCGCTACTGCCAGCCAAGACCCCGTGGTCCGCCAGCCCGACCTGACCTGACCTGACGTGACCTGGCGTTGCTTCGTTTGACTGCGATCCCCCGTCGGCAGAACACTGCAACGGGCCTGAGGTGAAGGTGGACGGAGCGGCGGGCGGCGACGTGGGGGCGGTGGACGCCACGGCGTGATCAGCGCCATCTCTGGGCCGCGTGCCGCAATATACGTACGCCGCGAGGTGGCGGCGCCTGTCTCGCCCGGCGCGGTTGTCGGTCCGCCCGCCGCCCGTTTTGTGGATGTCGGCGCGGCGGTTCGACCCGTGCTGGTGTGGAAGGCCCCCTCCCCCCGCGGACCCCGCGCCGCGCGAGGTTGGTGACCTCGCGCCCTGTCGCACACAAGGGACCAATGGTCGGGCGTTCTGTCGCGCGCTGGACGGAGGTGGCGCCGCGCAGCGGGGCAAGTGCATCGTTTCATCATTGTAGACTGTTGGTGAATTCGCATACAAAGTATTGTTGTTTGGGGTGCCGCTGGCGGGCGCCGCACTGGCGTTTTGTATGGTTGTCGCGGTTTGGTGCTGTTCTGGCGTCGACGTACGGTGCCTTGTGCACGAGATTTTCCTGTGACATTATCTTCTAGGGAGAGTAATCCGAGCGCTGATACGCTGACTCCGGTCTGGCGAGCCCGTGTCAGCCGATGCTGAACATGCGTGTAGTTTCATAATAACTAGGACGTTGTGCAGATTATATATCATGGTTGTTGCGGTTAATTGGCGTGGCCCTCGGGCTGCCATTGGCGGTGGGGCACATCGCGAGAAGTCTAGCTGTGGAAATGTGGAATGCTCCCTCCTAAGACCAAACCACTTTTGTGTTGATGTGAAGTGGAGGGACCTTTTAGCTGCTTTTAACGCACGCGTGGTGCTATAGTGGAGTCCGCTGAAAGGACAAGAACAATTGTATTGCTCTATTCTTAAACTTGCTGTCGTTTTGAAGCGGCATAACACTTCAATACGTTTTTTGTTGTCTTATGAAATATCAATTGATCGTTTTTAGCATTGTTTTTGCATAATAATGCACCTGCATTCCCGTGAATAGAATAGTGCCGATTCGTGAAAACACTCGCCTGTTTCGTATACCAGTCGTTTCAGCATATTCTACTTGGTATTGTGGACTTGGCACGCGTTGGAAGCGCTATTGTTGATCGATGTGGACCAATATAATCGTTAATAAATGGTCGCGGTCGACCTGTACCACCGATTACGTATCTGAACTTCATAGCTGGAGCGTTGTTTACTGTGAGTTGCGATGTCCAAGCGGTTCTCTGGGCGCGTATGCACCTGCGTGTGATGGAAGGTAGAGTTGAGGATGACGGCAAGCTTTCGCTGGTTAAGGCGGTCCTCTTCACACTAACTGAGGCCGAGAAATTGGCGGACATTTACGAAGAAGGTAAGATATGTACATTGCAGCGGTATCGTAGGCCTGACACTATTATTCTGAAAAATGGGTGACAGCCATGGGCTCATGATATTGGTGATATGGTCTTGAACCTGCGAATACATCCTTATCATGCGGTATCGCAGACCTGACACTGAAATATTAGTGATGGGGCCATGGGCGTAGTCACCCAACCAGGCCTGATGATACTGAGGTCCATTTCTGTTCTGGTGCTCCTTATTTCCTCACTTTGAATGTTCTTACTTTGATGGAGACAGGATAGCCGGAAGGGATCGATTTCAGAATTATGGATTTCACATCAAAGCATGCGTTAAAGCCAGCGTACTTGATTTCGTATTCCTAGCCCACCTGGCGATGAAAGAACTTATACTCGAGGGCGGATTTTGTTTAGTTTTGTTTTGTAGGAAAGCAGCTGCATCCATAGGCGTTGCCCGGATTGGTGTCGACGTGGGTGAAACCAAGGCCATATAGCGACGGGGCGAAACTCCTGATTTTTTCGCCACAGAAAAGTTATGAAAAGGCTTAAAAAAGGAAGGCGGCGCGTGCTCTCACTGATCTCCCGCCGCCCCTTCAGCGTTACGCTTGGGATTTAACGCATCGTGCCCGCTTCCTGGCCTCTAGGGATGTTTGCAGATATCAAAGACTTCTAGATGTTTTGGCGAAGATCCCCATCTGGGTCGATCTGGTAGCCGAAGTTTCCGTTATTTGACTTACGTTATTTTTTGCGCTGCTCTCTGCGGATCAGTTGGGGTGAGGGGTTGGTCGTGGTGGGCGAGGTGACGTGTATGCATAATTTCTGAAGATAGGTACAGGCGAGAGCTGTGTTCTGGAGGCAAGATAGTGCTATGACGGTCTTGACCTATCATCGTTGACTGGGAATCGGGCTCCTGGCTCTGGGAATCGTCTCCAACTGGTCGATATGAAGGTGAACTGAAGCTCTCCGTCACCTTCATCGCACCACGGCTGCAGACGGAGGCATCCAGCTGGGGAACACGACGTTTCGAGCTATTTTAGCGTATCACAGCCTCCTGCTTTAAAATGGGAGACATGTCACCCGACTTTGCAAGCAAGGATGAAGAAATATCATTTTGGAAAAGTCTAGCTCAGGATTTAAAGATTAGGTGAGTCATGCATATGGGATATCTACTTATCTACCCAGAGAACACTGGTGCCACCGTACCTTTGGCTTGTAATGATTGTCAGCAATGTGTGAGGCTTTTACAGTGTCTTCATGACACTAAAATGGGGATTGTAGGCATACTGTGGTGACATCCATGTCTCATAATAGACTTTGGCAATATGGCAGCCCTTTGCAATGCCTGGATGTCATAAAAGAGGATCACAGATATGCTACAAGAGTGGATTTAGGCACTGCAACAGTGCTCAACCTGCCATTCCTTAATGTATCTGAGGACTGATCCTGTGGCCAGGCTTTTTTTCTCCCGCTCGTGATGATGCTTAGTGCGGTGTAAGTATTCCACAGTGAAATTAACACCAGGAATGTAACCATAAAACACACAAAATCATGTTCCCTGGAGTGACAGAAACTTGCACTTTAGTGCAGTTTTTGTTGATCATCATACTACTAGCCTGGTAAATTTGTGTGTATGCTATTAGCATGACGGACATATTAGTTAACTAGTAAACAAACATGTTTCTAGAATGTCTGTGGCTCTCTTTTATGCATTTATTAATGCATTATTTTATATCCTGCATTATTATATATTATGCATTATTTATGCATTAAAGGAATTTGTGAATCAGCAATCTTCATTCCATTATAAGGCCAGTTTTGTTGGTTGTGTCTGTGGTGATGGCTGCCATGTGGGGTACTTGGTAATCATGTGAATTTTGAAATATATCTTAGCGTATGTGATTGTCTCGTGACCATTACTGGTGTGTTCACAAGGAAGAAATAGCATCCCATAGACCATTTGTTACAGGCAAGGTAAATTTATTTCTGGTCACAATGCCTGTCATTTCATAAAACAAACCTCAAACCTGTGATACACCCAGACCTTGTTAGTTGTGAAGTCTCTGGTCACAGCCCTGATTGCATGCATTTTATCATATGGTGCATTTTGGTTGAACAAAATTCATACATAACATAACATTAACACCAAGTGAAATAGGCGTTTAAAATGGAGAAGTGTGTATGGCTAACACACATATGAGTGGAGGGCTAAATATCACACATTTGGATGTGGTCAAATTTGCCACCCCTAGATCTAAAAACTAAGAGAGGTAGATGCACCTAGTGCATAGTGTGGTTCAGCCTGTATGAAAACTTACTTTTGCAAAAAGGTGAGGTTCCTAGGTCATAGCCTTCTGGCTAAATGAGGTTGAAGAGGGTCAAATTCCAGATTGGTGTTGTAAGTTCCCCACACCTGATGCATCAGCTTTGAACTTGATACCTGTTCCATGCCAATCCAAATGGTCCCTGTTGTTCAGTTTAGATCAGTGACTTTGTTTGACCTTTTTAAGGTCATGGTGACCAAAACTGACCAGATCATTTTTGTTTCATATTTGAACAAGCTTCAAATGTTGCACTAGGCTGAGTGTTCCCAAAAATAGAATGTTGATTGGGTTTGTTGTAGTCAGTGTTCTATGCTGACTGTAAATGAATCATGGAAGGTGTTTTTTGAGGTCCCTGTTATCAAGAAATTTGAAAAAAGCACCAGGAATGACCTGAAAGCAAGGTCCATAAAACAGGTTGGTTTTGGCCTTGGTTTGGCTTCATACCTCACCCCAGGTTGACGAAATTGGTTGTAATCTTAAATTAAAATGTTGAATTGTGTATGTAACCATCTCATGATGTACAGCTTCATCTAACCCTCAGTTGTCACATCAGATTGAATGGTTCCCTACAAACTGCCTTCACTGACAGTTACAGCATGACCTTGACCTATGGGATGTCATTTACTGGAATTATATATATATATATATATATACATATATATATATATATATATATATAAACAACTGTATTGCTATTAAAATATCTCCCTGTTAAGGCTTCTATGAGAGGGCCAGAGGGGAGGGTGTCACATAAACCAGTGTCACAGAAATTTGCTCCATTGGAGTTGATGCTGGAATTATACCATACTTACTTAGGTGCAGTGTACTTAATGTTGCTCTTTGCTGCTTGGAGGAAGAGATGGAGCTGTACCCATGCTCTGCAGCTCGGAGTCAGTGTTGGTTCTGCTGAGGAGAAATTAACCCCACTGTGGTACATAAATATAGCTTTTTGTGACTGGATGGCTGCAGCTTTCTAATGCATGTTTGTTGGGGTTTTTGACATGTGTGCTGCATATTAAGTGGAAATGAAGGGGACTAAAGCTCAGCAAATACATCAAGTAGATCTATTGATATGGACGGTCCTGTCCTTGGTCAGTGACAAGATCCCCAGCTTCATGCAGGCCATCATGTACAAGGATCAGCCAGTGTGTGGCTGTCGCCAGGCCTGGCTGGCCATATAGGCACCAACACCATCAGGCCCACCTGTCACACTCAGCGCTGGCACCTCCTCCGCGCCCTGGAGGAAGCGGCGCCATGCCTGTGTGGCCGGCGCCGGAGGAGGAGGCGGCAGCTTCGGCGTCGCTCACCATCATGCGCAGCCCTTGCCAGCGCGCCCACATGGGCGAGACCGGTCGCGTGGACTGGCCGTGCCGCAGCGAACACCGCAGTATGTCAGGCACCAGCTGCGGAACACGTCCTGGGGTGGTTGTTTCTGTCAGGAACACCCCAACACCAAGCCTCACTTCAAGGCCATCGCAGTGAGGATCCTGCAGCGTGCTAAAGGCCAGGCATTCTGGAGGATGGCTCAGTGGAAGCGAATTGCTGGCAGAGCTACCAGTCATCGCGGCACGGACGAGGGCTTATGGTCGAGGCGTCCACTGATCCCCCTGATCCGATCAAACTTGCCACCACAAGCCCTACTTACCACTCTATACATGGTATACAGGCCACCACCAGCAGGTAGGCCTTCAAGAATGCCGTCTGGGCACAAAATGGCCTTAGCAGGTGGTTCGTCCTTAAACCCCGATGAACAAGGATACAGTGCATCATCATCCGGTGGACTCTCGCTGAAGTCGATCTGTATGGTTTGGGCCTGAGAACGAGCCGCTCCTGCAGAGTGTAAACTGCAGTTGCTCTTAGCTATTCTGCGATAGACATATGGCATTAGCTTTATGAGGTCGAATTGCCTTTAATACAATATGTCTGTCTCAATCTTGGATCACTTCCGGTGATGCCGACGCTGGGCTGTTTGGGTACCTGTAAGGGTCGTGTGGGCGGATTTGTGGCGGCAGGCCCGGTGGAGCGAAATATGGTTCTGGTCTTGAACTAGCTCAGGTCGTCGTGGGCGGCAAGTGTAGGGCGTTACAGACGAGTTTTTGCCTCCACGAAACCCGTGAGCTCTCGGTGTTTAGTCGTCGAGCTTCGATGTGATTGTGTGGGTAGTTAACGCACGGGTGGCATGAGCCTCATGCAAGGTGAAAATCGCCAAGGTGTGGCGCGATGAGCGCCTTTGCGGGATTGATCTGACCAAAAAGTTGATGCAGCACATGAGGCAGACACTGACATAGTTTCTACTTATCGTGAACAAAACACCGCAGAAACTGTGACAGTCGCGTGGCCCCGATTGTTGTCAACATCACCTGTCCGGCAGATGAGCAGCAGCGTGCAGAATCACATCAGAGGGAGGCAGCTCTCAGTCGATCACCATCGCGCCGCGTCACGCGCGCTGACTCGCATGTCAGAGACATTGACGTGTCGGGTGTCTCGCGCGGTGTGCTACATAC